CGCATAGGAAGGCGCTTCATCAAGCTGTAGAAAGTGTTGCTTAATCATTTAATACATTTGATTGAGGCGGAGAAATAGGAGAGAGAGAGAGAGAAAGAGAGAGCGAGTAGATAAGGTAGATTATGTGATTTCTTTTATACAACTCACATTTTCATCAACTTTTAAGCCCCTTTAAAGCTTTTTACGTTTGCATAACCCTTTTTACGCCTTTTGTTAACTGAACTAGTTAACTGGTGTTTAGTCTTTAGACAGATTTGAAAGAATTTCCAGAGGCACGTGGTGTTGCACCTTAAAATTGTATAACATTTACGAGCACCGTAAAACCGAAAGCATTAGAAATTCACTTTCGACTAAACCAGAAATTCTTTTGTGCTCGCAAATGTTTTGCACGCAATCGACAAAGGGTCGAGGCAGAAAGGCAGGAGGTAAGCGGGCATTTAAAGCATTTCGCTTAAGCGTTGCAATTACCAACGACCCCATTCCCCAGACAAAAGCCACACGGATACGCCCGGGGCGTCAATGTGGCAGGCCGGAGAAACATGGCCGTAGATAGCCTGTGGCAAGCAGGTCACGAGGTGCATTAAAGTCGTTTGTTATTTTCCCAAATTTCAAGTAAATCACGTAAATAGTTTCCAGCCCAAACGAATCCGATCAACTCCCCAAGCTGCAGGAAACACTTTCTGAGTACTTTGTATTATTTTGCATGCTGCACGACAGCAGTTGGCCTATGGGCGTAATATTTGTGGGCGTGGTTATGCAAGTTGCAAATTCAGAAAACACGCCCACAAAGAAATAACACTTTACTCAAGGGGAAGTTCAATTTTCTATAAAGGCATTTCACTTTAAGCCAAGTATGCGAAAGTATGCAACACTTTTGTTTAGTGTTGGAAAAATATACAATGCTTAAAAGACCGCAAACTTTTCAGATTAAATATGTTGACTTTTTGTAGAGAATATATAGCTAAAATATGATTATTATTAAAATAAATTATAAATTATTAAAATTAAAGTTGAAGGTAAAGGGAAAATCAAAGTTCATTACGGGACTGTAATATAAATAATTTAATGCTTTGTATCTGTATCTGTATCTGTAAATGTTTCTGTATCTGTATCTGTATCTGTATCTGTATCTGTAACTGCATTTGTATCTATATCCGTCTGTATCTGTATCTGTGAGATACTTTTGAAACGTGACCTTGCCCGTGGCTGGCTGCACTTTGTGCTCACACGATAGATATTTTATAATATGGATATGGAAATTGCCAACGAGTTGCAGCTGCACCTTGCGTGTGGCTCATTGCAATGCGCCCGCATCAGAGTTAATGATTGTTGTTGTTTATCAGTTGCAGCTACAACAACAACAATAACAATAATAAAAACAACAACAACAACTGGCCACAAAGTGCATTGGCTCGAGGCTTGCGGCTGGCAAGCGATGCGCAAAGTGCGCGACAGATTATGTCCAAATGTGTTGAATATATAGAAATAGAATATAATTATTGTTACGCTGAGTATTAATAAATGTATTAAACTGTCTAGCTTGAGATTAATGTTATTTTTTTCTAATTTAATTCAAAATAATAAGCCACAAGACTTTTATAAGGCCCTCGCAGGCTTTCCAAAGATTAAACCTGTTGAGAATTGCAAGCGTCAGGCTGCTTGGGCTAAGATATATCCTGGCAGGGACTTGAACCTGATTTAATAGGTATTCTGAGCGATTGCTCAATGAATTTTGTACACGAGGCGCATATTTGATACAACGTCCCGTATCACAATTGATATCTTATCTCACGCTTATCAATGTCGAGTCATCAAAAAAAAAATATAGAAAGAACCAAAAATGACTGCTCAGCGATTAGATTGTGCCGCAGCACGAAAAAACATGCCAAAAATGCAGCGAGCAACGAGGCCTATTCGATGATTCACTTAAAATGCCAACTATTTTAATAGTTGGGCTTTAATTAAGAACCCCCCCCCCCCCCCCCCCCTTGCAGTAATTAACCTTAAAACGTGACGTGAGACGTTGTGAAAACGATTGGAAAAGTGGCCCTTGGCGTTGATGTCAATGTTGTGGGACGCCGAGCAAGTCGGTTGCCCTAAGACAAAGCAAATGTATAAATATCTAACTAGCAATCGTTTAAGTATTGCCCAGACACACCCACACACACACACACACACACACATAGACTCTCAATTGGCTGGGGCGAGCAACCTCGACCGGCTTGCCTATGTATATATATATATCTAAACTGTTTATATAGTATATCGTGTATCGAGAGTGAAATTCCATTGCCCATAACACGTGCCTCGGCCCGACCAGAGTGCCCCCCTCCCCCCTCCTTTTCCCGGGCATCTATCTGCTGAATTTTATCGCTGTGTTTATTTCGTCTCAAATGAGGCAACAATTTAGATTTCATTTCCTCTTAACAGTGTGGAAATCGCTGTGACATAAGCCTCAAATGTTTTTCCCTTTGCTTCGGGTAGCTACTTGTTTATAGATTGAACAAACTTAACATGATCTTGCAAATTAAAAAAAAAAAACAAAAAAGTGAGAGAGAAAATAGATTGGCCGAAAATTGAATACCCTTACCAAATAGATTTGTTTCTATATAAGATTGATATATATGATTAAGTAGCTTAAAGTTGATAAGATTTAAATTTTGGTTATATTAAATAAATGTAGCTTAACTATACATAAAGTGTATGCTTTAAATACCCTCTAAAGAAGAACAATAAAATGTGTTCCCTTAATTAGAATTCGACGCGTTTTCACAGCATTCAACCATAAAAACTTTCAGTTCTCGTTAATGTCACACTTAAGTTTTATTTTATTTTGCAACTGTTCCATTTTGCAATTTCCATTTCCAGTTGCTAAAACTATTTTCCAGTTACTTTTCGACGAGCTGACCGTGATTTTTACTTATTGTTTGTTATTCACGAAATCGTTGAATATATACATATTTAACAATTGCCAATAACAAATGCTGTACCAGTAATTGTACGTTGTACGGAAGGTGGGTCTTTAAGGGGCCTACATACATACGTACATGCATACATACATACATATATACATATGTAACCAACACAGTTACACGCGTTTTATTGCAAAACTTAGACGTTGCGAGTAATATTTATTTATTTGTTATTTTTTTGGCTGTTTGCATGGGTTTTATATAACATTAGCATAATACGAGGGCAGTTCAACAAATACAAAAATAAACGAACAATTAATTGCTTGCCTGCAATTTAAATATATGTATGTATTTGGCAATTAAGTCAAGCTGGTCACACTTCGCTTGAAGAAGATGGCGCCAGGCGACATAATGCAAATAAGAAACGTGCAAATGTCTGCTTGAACTGCCCTCGCAATTATAAGCGCCAACACAGAAGAACAGAACTGATTTTGTGCTGCACTCACCCCATTATATAGATAGCCGTTATTCCGATTGATATCCATGTTGTTGATGCGTGCCGCAGGCATATCCGCTATGTTAAGCGCCTCGACGGCGCTGAGATCGATTTGTGGCTTTTGCGACGCGTACGCTGGCGTCGCGCTGCGCAGTGGGTAGTGGGAGCAGCTCAGCTGCTGCGGTTCCAATTGGTCTGAAGGCTGCTGCGCATCTAATTGGAATGCCAGCTGACGACGTGCAAATAACGGCGACTCTTTGGCGCTTAGCGTACCCAAAGAGACGGCGCTCAACGGCTGATGCTTGTGCTCCACGGGCCACGTGTCCTTGCAGTAGCTTGTGTGCGCGATATGGCAACGCACGCAGGCACAGCTGCTGCTGCTGGTGTTGTTGCTGTTGTTGCTATTGTTGCTGCTGCTGCCGCTGCTGCTGTTAAGATAACTGAACGACTTGGATTTGGATTGGACGATGTTCAGTTGCGCCTGGGAGTCGCAGAGGTTGCGGCGTCCGGCAGAGGATGAGACAACGCTGCAGCGTATAACGCCGGCTGCCATGCAGGGGCGTGGTGTTAAGGGGGAACTGTGTTATTGCTCTTTAGACTTTGACAAATTATTGTTGTTTTATCACACCACTTGTCTCTGTTTGTGTGCGCTAGTCAAGGTCATTCGCACTCGCTTTATCTACACGCATACACACACACATGCGTTTTCTGTCTCTGTGTGTTTGCTCTGCTCTGTTTTGTTTAACTTGAGTTATGCCGTTTATTCTGCTGTGCGGACTCTAACGGCCCAGCAACATGTGGTTGTCGAAAAAATCTATATATTGCTTTCTCCCTCACACTTTGCTCGAACGGTAATTAAAGCGCCTGCACTTGAACTTTCTGCTGCTGCTGTACGCTGTATTGGCGCGCACTTATCAAAATCGCATTCAATTTTAATGCACACAATTTTGGTAAGGTTATCTCTTTCTGGCACTTGAAGTTTATTGAACTCGCTTTTTGGCTGCAATTGCTGCACTTTTGACCAGCGCCAAATGTCAAGTTAAGTTAACAATTGCAAACTGGTTTCGCGCTAAGAAATGGAGCACTAAATTGAGCGCGACAAACATTTAACATTCACATCGCCAGTTGCATAAGCCTTTATTGTTATTTTAATTGTTAACGCTGTTGTTGTTGTTGTTGCTCCTTGGCGTAAATTTAATATCACTAAAATGAAATTCACACACGTACAAAAGAGACACGCAAAAAATGACGCTCGCTTCACTTTACACAAGCAACAAACAGAAACAAGCGCAGCAGGTCTGTACGCCGTTGCGTTCAATTGTGAACTGAACGCAAAGCTGTGTGAAAGCTTGACAAAAGCGAAACGGTTGGTCGCATCGTCCAAACGGTTATGCGACTAACCGTTTAGCTGCCGCGCGCCAATATGTTATTTGAATTTAACGTTTAAAAGAAAATAGAGTGAAAAGCATATACTCAGCGAAAATGCAAGGTGTGGCAACCCTCTAACAAGTTTGAACTTAGAGGCTTTAAATTGATGTAAAACAATGATTATTATCGTGATGTTATAACAATTTATATTCTTAACAGCCATTTGTTAAATTACAATTAGTTTTCATTGCATCAATGCAAAGCACATTTTTAATGCGAGGTTCTCACTGGCGTTTTGGATACAAGTAGATGCTTCTCAACTCTCACTTGGCATATATATAAATTAAATGTAATTTCTATTACTGTCGTCGTCTACTTAAGCTACTTTCTAAATATAACAATGCTTTTGTGTAGGAATATCGTTTCCAAAAACGTAAGTTGTACATTATAGCAGAAGGCTTAAAGAATCTAACTAATAGTTAAGGTTTTATAGTATTTGACAAGACACTTAAATAATATAAACAAGCTATAAGTATAAAACAGAAGTAGCTAATAGAAAATAGAGCCAATGATCAACATGTTCGTCTGATTAAGAACCAGCCCCAAAATTTGCAGGCTCATTTATTATTGTTAACCGTCAAGAGCTCCGACTGCCGGCGTTTCTTTTGTGCCAACATGAAATGCGAGACATTCTCATAAACCAGGAACGTGATCATGCAGGCGGGCACCACGCGTATCAGGTTCGCCTTGAGACCCTTGTAGAAGCCGACCGCGCCCTCGAATCTGCAATGAGAACGAAGCAAGTGTGGGGTATATATAAGTAAATGTTGCCCAGGATATCTCTTACCTACATACAATTGCAATTGACAAATACCTGTGTTTCAGTTTAGCAAAGAGATTCTGCACAATTAGAGAGAACTTTACACATACGCATATATCGATATATATATATATATATATATATACTACTTACTATAGCCGCAGGGCGGTTGGTTCAGGCTGAAGGCGAAATAAAAAAAGACTCGTGTTGAGGACATGGAAACGCTTGTTTGGTTTCTTGGCATTTTAATGTGTTCGATTTCTAGTTATTTTTTTAACGACTTCTTTTTGTGTTTTTGGTTTTGTTTTCTTGAAATTCTGTTTTTCTGTTGACAAATCGTTTGCTTCACATTTTTTAAATGTAACTCTAAATGTCAAGGTTATTAAAAAAAAAAAAACAAAAATTATGAAGAATCTTTTTGCCAAAACGAAAATTAAGCATATGCCTAACTAACTAGAACATATTTACATTGCAATTAATTCAAATAAATAATTTAACTAAACTATAAACTAGTGTTGTGCAAATTATTGAAATTAAATTTCAATATTTTAGCACAAGCTACTCTTCAAGTTTCCTCTCGAATCATATAGTATACACAAACATATAGTATACATTCTGCAATTGCATTAATGTCTAACTATGGAATTAGCTTAAAGCTAAATACAACTAACACTTAAATGATAAATGAAAGTATAAGTAAAACTAAAACAAAATCATAATCATAATTACAACAATAATACAAATTATGATCCGCTTTGTCATTTGCTGCTGCTGCTGCTCCGCGTTCAGATTCATGTTGATATATATGTAATATGTAATTTATATTCAATGTTGTGGCTACTTTCTAGTTTTTAACTATGTAATACTCTAACGCTTAGCTGGTCAGCTTCTCCCAAATGAGCATGACCATGCAAATGTTGGGCGTTACGTGAACCAGATACGGCACCAGTCCCTTATAGAAACCGCGCATGCGTTCGTACCTCCAAGTCTGTTTGATGCAGTCCCAGGTGCCGCTATAGCGATGATGATGATCCTGCAGACGCGCTCGCACCACCTGATACGGATATGTGGCTGCGGCAGCAATCAGCTTCGATATTGCCGCAAATGCCAGATACTCGCTGGTCGCCTGTGGGCGTGAGAAAAGCAACAATTTAGTCAAGCAGAGGCCCATTAAAAAATGTGACTATTGAACAGCTGCCAAATGGCGCGGGCGTTAGCATATGCATATACATATATAGAATGATATACGTATATCCATATGGCAACAGCTGGCACGCGCGTTTGGATCATGTGATGCCATTCCCCGTCTATATATACACACCAGTTTGGTATCGATGGGCAGCTTGCGGTATTCGTTGTAGGCGTTCTTCATCTCCTCGTAGGTCATGAACTGTATGGCGCCGTGCGAGACGCCCAGCATGCCGGGCACAAAGCCTCTGTACAGGCCACGCACGCCCTCCGTCTTGTAGATCTCGGACAGGGCATGTACCATGCCGCGATATTCGGAGCTGCTCGCCGTATCGCACTGCAGGCACAGACGCGTCTTCACCACCCAAATGGGATTCGTTAAGAGGAGGGTAAGGGCGCCCGATTCGGCGGCGGCCAGCATGTGCATGGCGGGACCCAGGGGCATGGTCGTATTGCCGCCCTGAATGAACGTCTTGATGGTGTTGTAGCTGCGAGGAGAGAGAGAGAGCGAGATTAAGCCAAGTTCAATTGTGGTAAGATTCGCTGGCAAATACTTACAACATGAAGTAGAGACCCCACGAGGAGCCAGAGCCCCAGACATTCGGTGTTACGCCCTTGTACAGGCCACGGAAACCCTCCTGCCGGAATATGGTGGTAAACGCGCTGCCCAATCCACGGTATTGCGGCACCGTCGCTGTGCGTCCATCGTTCACTGCAAACGGAAGAAATCAAACGAGGCTCGTAAATGATAAATCTTAATGCCATGTTTACTCAACAGTCTAGACATTAGCCTTGTATAACTAAAAAGTAGATACCGAGACACGCGTCACTTGTGTACATACTTCTGCATTACCCGGCGTTGACTGGCTCAAGCATTTGCTTTATCAAAATTCTAATCAGTTTTGAAGAAGATTCGAGGGAAGAAGCTTAAAAGTGTAAAGCAGTCAGTCAGTCAATGAGTCGAGTCTCTCTATCCATTCAGTTTTAAATCATTTAAAAGTTTGGTTAAGTTGAGTATGATTCATGCAACAGCTGTTTTAGCTGGTTTTTTTGGCATATCTTTTTGGGGTACTGTACAAGTTGTGACTTTCGGGCCCCGGCATTACGACAAAAGTAGGCAATAACAAGAGCAGCAGCAGCAATAACAACTAGTTGTTGTTTTCGCGGCCAACAGAGATAGCGCTAATTGGCCGGGGCAACGGATGTGATAAGGGTCCAAAATATGAAAACAGGCTGCTGTCCGAGCTGCGCTGCTCGTGCGGGCATTAGCATGACACGCCTAGAATTGTGTCTATATTTATTTTTATTTATTGGCAAAAACAAAAAGGCAATTCTGCTGCCAACTGCCCTGACAACAGCGAAACGGGGGCTCGTCCCGTGCCTATTTATAGGTATGCCCAGTTCTGGACTGACCTTCAGCACAGGAGATCAAAACTTGTGGCCAGACTAATCTGTATTATTCTCGTTGCGAAAACAAGCGAAACTTTTAAATCGCATTTGATGTAATATGATGATCGTGCGCTGTTTTTCCAATAATATTTGGCTAATAAATTAGTTGTTGACTGAGCATATATAGATTTATATATATATAATGGGAACAGCTGATGTTGAACTCTGGTCGAGCACACGAAAATTATTCGCATGTTCGCAGCGATAAAAATAAAAAACAAAACGCAGCACTTGACAACAACTGAAGTTTTGCACTGACAACCAGTTTGACGCGCCGATGTACATATAGATATATACACACACACATGCATGCACGCGTGTATTTGTGTTTATGTTGATAAATGTTTCAGTGTTGTATAAGCTGACAAGTGCCGTTAACAAAAATGCGCGATGTACAGTCAACAACATTGGTCACGTGATGTCGCAGAAATGAGCAGGCGACAAGACTGAGTGCAAGAATCGGATGTGATAGACTGGCAGATACCCTGCAAACAGCTAGAAAATGAATTATATGTGTTTTGTATGTGCTATAGGAGAAAATTAATGCCAAATTGTGTGTAGCTAAACTTTATAAACCACAAGATATGCTAAAAAAGATGTGCTAGTAATCAATATTTATTAATTTTTCGTTCGCTGCATAGCTAATATACCCCTTTGTTGATAATCAATTTCTTTGCCCCTGTTACCCATATTTGTTGCGAATTAATCTACACTTTATTGCCCATTTTTCTTGACTACAGGGTATAATAAAATTATAAAGATAAAAACGTTTACGCCACTTGCTGACGCTTGATTTTGTTTTTTCCCCGAACCCGCGCATAAACCAGCCAGATGCGTCATTCAAACACGCAAACCAAATACATTTATAAAGTTTCCGATCAATAGTTGCCGTCAGCATATGCTTTTGCCAGGCTAATAATCTTTTTTTCTTGGTAAATTTTCGCATAAACAACTTAATATGTTATTATTGTTAAGGTTCTCGTTCGTTTACAAGACATATAAAAAAAATCTGTAAATATTTACCGATTCAATTGGCGCTTTTAAAGAGTTAAACTAAGTAGAAAGCGTGTTCGACTGGCAAAACAAGACTTTAATATTAATGTGAATGAAAATAATCAAAAACAAAAACCTGTTGTTCCTGTTGTTATTGTTATTGTTAAAAAAAAAAAATCGAAACATACGGAAATAATAATGTACTCGATTTTTGCGTGCCAATCCAAACGAGGACAACTATGAATGCGCGCTGATAAAACTATATGTATGTATATGTATTGTTATGTATGTAAACAATGAAAAGCTGTCATAATAATAAAATTACAGACAAAAACTCTACTAAGGAACCGCGTCCTTAGGCGTTCAACTTCTTTAGCCTTTACATTTTTAATGCCCCCCATCTTAAACTGAAAGTGTGCGTCAAAGGGAGCCTTTACTGTATCTAGAAATTTATCGATCTTTGTACTGTGCCCATTTACCCAATATCTAAATGGAACTCAATAAAATATAGACATATGCCAAAAATTGTTCTAGGGGGCGTGTACTTCTAGTCGGTTCTACGTGCGCACGAATGCAGATAATGCTTATCATTCTGGAACGTTGATAGGCCGAAAATGTAGCATAATCGGTCAGCAGAATTTGGAGGACTTTTAAATTGTTTTCGCAAGCTGTCAACAGGTCAATAAATAAAAGTCGAATGCGAAAACTCAACTCAACTCAAAATAAACGGAGGAAATACCCATTTGTCAGCTCAATGTGCAACTAGCATGTTTATTTGCTCATGATTCGAATTCCAGACTAGTTTTCCGCAACGCACAAAGTTTTCCATGGAAATTTTCAACTGCAACGAGCAGGCGGCAAACACATGATAAGCGTAGGGTAGAAGAAAACAACAAAACGCAGTCGAACGCAGTGTTGAGCAACAAAAATTAGCTAGTTCTGGCGAGAGCAAAAAACAGGCCAGATTTTATTTGAATTATAAGTGAATTTTCGTTGCGCAGCAAATAAGTCACATATGACGTTAAAAAAGTATAACACTCTCTGCAAGTTGGCAGAAGTCGCAATGTTAAGAAGTTTTCATCAATGTTCTTTTCAAATGCCAGATTTGACGAGAAAAAACTCGAATTGAGCAACACTGGCAGCTGTCGCAAGCCGGCTGCGCTGTGGGTCAGTCACGTGCTGGACGATTGCTTCGTTTTGTGTATTTGTTCGTCATTTAACGGTTCTTTGTTGTACTCACCAGCAAAGCGTATTTTGATGAGATCCAATGGATGCAGAATAAGCGTGGACGCAACGCCGCCAGAGACGCCGGCAACCAGATGTTCATATTTGACATGGGCAAATACATTGAATTTGGGTGGGCTGCTCGCAGGAGCTGCGTTTGCATTCATCTTTCTTGTGTTGTGCGCTTGGCTCGTTCAATTAACAGTTATCGCTTTCTCTCTCTCTCTCGCTCTTTTACTCGCAGGTATATATATATATATATATTTATCTGTATATATATGTGTGTGTATGTATGTATTGTATTATTTACAATCTTTGGCCTATAGCTGCGCTTTTTGATCTATGAAAAATCAGAGAAACTCGTTACACATGGCCGCAATTCGCTTTGAATTTGTCTTGTTGCTAGGCGCTGAGTTTTTTTGTCTGCTGCTGTTGCTGTTGCTCTTGTTGTTGCTGTTGCTGCTGCTGCTGCTACTGCGTATACTTATACATTTCTGCCTTTGTTTTGTTACCGAGCACATATTTTCTCTCTCTCTCTCTTTTTGCCAAATCAACTGTGGACTGTGTTCAGTTCGAGTTTTTTTTTTTTTTTTTTGTATTTTTCAATTTTCTTACAGTTACTCTGCAGCTTTAGCACAGAAATTGTTTTTTGGCTGACGAAATATATTTCAATCTGAAGTGAGACGAACGCGGCTGCTTCGTTTTCATTAAACGATTATTATTTTATAAAGCTGCTTATGTAATGCCTTATGCATTTCTCTTGATGCCACGATTGGACTGCTGCTTGCTTGTATTATTTCACTATTGCAAAATACACGTGAAGGCGATTAAATAATGCTAGACTTATTCTCTTTTTCTATTTGAATGCGCGTGCACAATTTAATTTGTGACTTATTCTTACGGTCAGCTCTTGCTGTGTGCTCAACCGAACGACGAGGAAAACACGAATGATTCGCCCAACAGCCGATGTGGGGCTTTTGTAGTGCCAATGTTTTATATCGATATATCGATAAGTAGCATCTATCAATAAGTCACGTGTTACCGTTTCATGCGAATGCCATTTGAGGGGGTGGTTCAACAAGTAACAGAAATATTTTTTAAATTTAATAGCTAAATCATTTATTGAATGAACATAACCAGTCTTTGGACTTTTTCCTAGGTGTGAGCGCACACGCACCGTGTACAAGGGCAATCAAACCCTGGGCAAAGAGTTTCTGGCAGTGCCTTTCTTTGAAGGATTTCTCGACAAGATTACGTTGGCTCTGTGCCTGGTAACTGCACTTCAATTTAAACTCTTTCACTGTTCACACATGAATGCTCTGTCGTCCGCATGAGTTCGTATGTGCGACTTAAGATGAGCGCTTTGGATAAAGGCTTTCGAGCAGTGGTTGCATTTATAGGGACGTTCGCCCGTGTGCGTGCGAAGATGTTTTTTCAGCGCACAGCTACGCAGGAAGCCCTTCGGGCAGTAGGTGCAACGATAAGGACGCAAACTGGAATGTATGTCCATGTGAGCCGCGTAATTGGGCTTATTCGCAAAGGTTTTGCCGCAATGATGGCATGCATGTTGAGGCTCCTTCACATAAGGACCCCCATTGCTGTGTCCCCGGATGTGCGCCGTATAAATTGATTTGTGGGCAAAGCTAATTGGACAATAGGAGCACTTGTAGGGCAGCTTCCCAGTGTGAATCTGTCGATGTATCCGCAGTTCGTAGGCACTGTCAAAGGTCCTGGCACACTGGGCGCAGGGATAGACTCGCCTTAATTCGATTTGAGCACTGCAAAGTTAACAATATTACAAAATGTTGAAGCTTTAACTGATTTTACATACTTCTTAACCGGCGACTGTTTATTCCGCTGAACTTTCATATTATTTTTATGGCATTCTGTCTCTGGGAGCTCTATTTTGATGGGTCCTATTTCTATCGCGCCACAGGCCATATCTGCCAGGACAGCTTCATGCTCCTCATGCTGGACCGGCTCCTGTTTTATGCAAGCTGGGTTCATCAAACCTTCCATTATTAAATTTGTTCATTTCTTTTAATTACAAGCGAATTTTTGTTTTTCTTAGAATGCAACGAATAAATCTCAGCTGTGTTGTGTCGGCATTTCAGGTGAATGTTAAATTGGTTTGTATATCGATATTTTATAGGTAAGTTTATCGATTTCTTAAAGATGACATTGTACTAAATTTGAACAGTCTGGCCATATAACATATTAAGTGTGGCCAGTTTGTAACTGCCTTCAATTTCAAATTTAAAAATCTCATTTTTATATAATTTATTCTGTATCAAATTTTAATTTATACACAAGACTCTAGCTATTTAAAGTCAGCACTTTGTGACACAAACGTGTTTTTGTTGCAAAATTTACACAATATCGACAATATTTTGAAATTGGTTCGTTGGTTTCCTTTCATTTATTATTACAAAATACAACTTATTATTAGTTAGAACGAGAAAAATGTTGTTTTTTTGTTTTTGTTGTTTGTTGTTTAATGAAAGCGGCGGCGGTATGCGTATGCCTAATCGTTATAAAAGCTATTGTCATGAATATATTGCCTCAATAGGGGGGTAACAGTTATGTGTATATATATATATAAATATGTATATGTATATGTATAGAAAAGTATGTAAATTGGTAGGATATAGCATTACTTTTAGATGATTGCAATTTAGTCTATACTTTGATTTTGTTTTTTTTTTTTTTCTTTTTTTGTTACATTTACAACAATTTCACATTTCCTGCGATACACAAAAAAAAAAACACAGCTCGCAAAGACAGACAGACTCCTCCTCCGACTTATTGGGCGCGACTTTTAGGTAGTTCGTTAGGCTATATATTTAAATTTTTTATTTATTTGCATTCTTCTTTTTGGCAGGATTCTTGTGTGTGTGTGTGTGTGTGTGTGTGTTTGTATGAACTGCTCTGCTGTTTTCTGACGTTGATCTGCAACTCATTTTGCTCGTAAAAAGACCTAATATTAAATTATATAAAATAAATAATCGAAATCATAATCATAGACGACGACAACTCTCATTTAGCGTGTACAAAATATAAACATTTTCCATTCAAGAGAAATTCAAACGATAACGACGAGCTGCTGCTGCTCCCCCTCTCTCTCTCTCCTTCTCTCTAGGTTAACCTCGCCTGCTCTCTCTCTCCCTCTTTATGTCCTTCGCCCGCTGGTAACTAATCCTCGTCGTGTGCATTGCCCGCCGTTGACGCGGGAGCAGCATGATCATTGGCACTTTCACTGGCATGGCTGCTTTCCGCTGCCGCTGCCGCCGCCGCCGATGTCGCAGCCGCTGCTTGACCGCTGCCGTTTTTGTTGCTATTGCGGGCATCCGTTTCATCGCCGGCGGCCGCGTTCACCTTGGCCTCTAGGGCACGTATGCGATTCTCCTGTTTGACAATGATCGCCTTCAGCTTGCGTATCTCATCCAAAATGTTGCGATGATCCTTCTCCTAAATAAAACAATTTGATTAGGCCATGTTAAGAAAGCTGTCTGGTGCCTGAGCTTACCGAGAATATCGCTGCGGGCGCACCTCCATCGTGGGACTCGTTGTTGTTCGCGGATGAATGATTGCCACTGGCCAGGCCGCCGCCGCCACGCGATGCGGACGCCTTGTTCAGTATGTTCGCCTTCTTGCTGACGGACAGCGAATTGTTGCCCGACGAGGAGACGTAGCCACCCTGTACAATGGAGACGCGATCCTGATTAGGTTTATTAGAAACACTGTTCAACTGGGCTACAACAAGGAACAAAGAACACAACAACAAGCGCCACGCAGCGTGCGTGTTAGGGCGTGTGTAAGCCGTCAATAGGTGTGTGTGCGTGTGCGTGTGCGTGAGCGTGTGTTTGTTGTGAGTTTCAAATCGAGAGTCCTGCATCGAGGCGACCAAATACTCGGTCAAGCGAGTGAGTACTCCGAGCTGTTCAAAAAATGAGCCGAGTTCGGTTCGGTTGCGTTCGAGCTCGAACATGTTGCCGACTCGAGCTGTTCGAGCTCGAACATGTTGCCGATTTGAGCTGTTCGAGCTCGAACATGTTGCCAAACTGCCGAGCTGTTCGAACTTTGTTTGAAGGAATGTCTGTTTAATGATGCAGGCCCCTAGTTTGGAGCGTGGAGTTAGTGCAAACTGACTCTGTGTGTGTGTGTGGGTGTGGCTGAGGAAGCTGGCGAGCAGACGAGACGAGACACAAACGTGGATAACGCTGAGATAAGAGGGGCAAGCGGCAAGCAACAGAAATGGTAGCCACGCGTTAAAAGCAAACAGAAAGCCATTGGAATACACTTTTTATCTGGGGCACACAAGCGCCACACGCTTCAATCCTGTAGGATGCTGTACGCTCGGCGCGGCAACTGCGGCACCGAAGCAGGGCACAACGACGATGCCGCAGCGCCGGAAGCGCTGTATTCCAAATGTTTAGGGGGAGAGACACTGCGAGAGTTGGCCCGGGGGCCACTTACTTTGAGCGAGAAGGTCAACGGATCGGCATCCTTGCCGGCGATCCATTCCTCGGCCGTGATCGCCGCATCCTCGGCCAGGGTGTCCGGATAGAGATCCTCCTGGAAGAGATCGGATTTGCGCGGCACCGTCATCGATATGACCTGGCACAGACCGTTGTTGTTCAGGCGATAGAACTTGGCGATTTCGCAGGTGGTTACATCACAGCCTCGCTTCGGCATCAGCCCGATGCCACGCTGCGGATCCGGCGTCTGAAACGTGTTGATGTAGTGCACAAACGGCGGCTCCGGCGTCACCTGTGGAAGCAGAGATTAGATCAATCAGTCGCAGCGTGCTCCAGTCAAGAGACGGAGAGCGAGAGAAACGTACCTCAAAATAACGAATCACAGAATCGCCCTTGCCGCACAGATAGATCAGATTTGTGTCCGCATCGTAGAGCGGGAACATGACACCGTTCGATGTGTCCAGCTCCACCATGACAATCGGCTCGTTGAGCGCATCCGGCGCGCGCAGCGAATACTGACGCTCCGAGCTGCGATTGAAGCCGGTGGTGAAGATCAGGCCATGTCGCAGAAAGATGGCGCGTGTCGCCTTTGAGCCCTCATGGCACATGGCCTCGCTTTCCAGTTCGGCGCTGCGCGGATCATAGATGCGTATCTTTTTGTCCTTGCACGTGGTGACCAGCTTGGAGCCATCCCAGTTGAAGCAGGCGCTGTACACAATATCCGGATGTGAGTCAATGTGCACAAGGATCTCCCCGGTGCCCACATTCCAGATGACTACCTGCAATGGACTCGGTCTGTATAATCGGCCTTGTGCTGAATTGCCAGCTGCTTACCTGATTGTCGGAGCCGGCGGTGAGCAGGACGTTGAGCGCCGATGGATGCCAGAGCACGAGGCCGACGCGACGCTGATGGAACACCAGATCCACGACGGGTTCGGTGAGTGTGCGCGACAGTCCGCCGTCGGGTATTTGCCACACCTTGACCACACAATCCTCCGAGCCCGAGGCAATCACATTGTCGTTGTGCGGACACCACGCAATGTCCAGCACCGGACCCTTGTGCCCGCCCACCAGCGGATGATCCGCCGCAATGCGTCCAACCTGCAGCAAAATAGTTCAAGTTATCAAATATGTAATTGTAAATAGCATTTCAAAGGCCAAACACACTGGCACGATTCTAAATTTAGATATTCCCGGCCAGAATTAGCTGGCAACCAAATGGGCGCAAACTTCACCTGGCGGGCGGGCGGCAGGTGCATGAAGTTGGCACCTAATGGCAACACGTGCGAAACACCTGCACTTCAATACATTCGAGCTGTGCAGCACTTCGCACAATTCCTATAACTAATATTAAGCGGGTGAGGCTTTCGCGTCAATTTGTGATTAGTTAGAGGCATGACTGTACGCAACAACTATTTATAATATATATATTTAGAGAGAGAAAGAGAGAGAGAGAGAGAGAGAGAGAGAGAGAGAGAGAGAGAGAGAGAGAGAGCTGCGAGGTCTGTTTAGACAGCTTTTAGGCTGATTCAGCTAAGAAAATGACTCGGCCTGAGCTGGCGTCGAGTTGCTTTGATAAATTATCGATTTCCCACATATTTGAGCTGAGTTTCCTTTGAGCTGAGTTTTCTCTAAAAACTTGATAATTTGGGATAATGCAAGAATCTACACAGTAAAATTTTAATCCAGCTGTTAAAATCTGTGAGATTTGCGCTAAAATTCGCAACTATCGATATCGATATTTATCGATTTGTGTGAGTTATCGTAAATTTGATATAAATTTCAATTGGCATACCATAAATTAAGAAACTAAATGCCAAATTAATTGGCATAAAAGCGAATGTGTACTGTAAGCACAATGCGATCTGGCTGATAAAAGTCCAGGAAATGGGTTTCATAAAATATGCCGGTAAAATGCAATGCGAGCTAAGAGGGGCACATTTAGGAGCAAGTTTTTGTTATTATAGGAACTTCTTGGAGTCTAGCTATATCCGATGATATATGGAAGAGCGTGTCCATTTGACGATCCAAATGGGGCATATTTAGGGACAAGATTCTATTACTATAGGTACTTCCTAGAGAGTGCCTAGCCTATATCTAATAACATATGGAAAACGCAAGATTCTATTATTATAGGAACTTCAATTAGTCTAGCTATATCCGATGAAATATGGGAGAGCGTTCCATTTGATAGTCACTCCAAATTGGGCATATTTAGAAGTAGAATTCTGTTACTATAGGAACTTCCTATAGAATTCCTAGCTATATGCAATGATATATGAAAAGTGTGTCCATTTGATAGACTCTTCAGATTCGGCATATTTAGGGGCAAGGTTCTATAACCTTAGGAATAAGTCTATTATTATAGGAACTTCCTGGAATATAGATATTATTGATAATATATGAAAGACCGTGTCCATTTGATAGACGCTTCAAATTCGGCTTATTTAGGAGCTAGACTATTACTATAGGAACTTCCTGGAGAATTCCTAGCAATATCTAATGACATATGGAGAGAGCATATCCATTTGATTCGGCTGCCGCGCAGTTCCATAAGTTCCATAAGATATTCAAATTGAGAGCGTGTGAAAGCTGCGGCACATAGAAATCGGTAGCTGGCAGCGCGTTTTGCATACAAATTTGGGCCCAATTAGAAACGACAACACTTGGCCGCGAAGCGTTTTGGCCAAAACCAAAAGCGGCGCGCACGCAAATTGGCCATGTCCACGCCCACGCCGACAGCTGGGCGGATGTTCGATTTTGGCGCTGCCCAAAAAAATTTGAAAATTAATAAGTTTACCAATTTTCTCAACACTTTTCAAATATATTGAAGGAATATAGCTAGGCATATATATATATGGAGATATATATCTCAAATATTATATTTTTGTAATGCTCAAATTTTTATATATATTCCTTTTTTTGTTAAATTTAGACAATTTGATGTGTCATGTTGGCAACGCGCCAAGAAAACCAAGTGCGCCCGAGAATTGAGAGAGGGACAGAGCGAGAGAGAGAGAGAGGGAGAGGGCATATTGCTTGCACAGAATCATAATGCTAGGATTTGGCTTTATTTTGAAGGCATCGAATATTGTATACCCTATTATGACAATCTGCCAATAATAGCCAAGACACTTGACATCAGGCCGCCACAAATACCCTATAAATAGGCCCATAAAGGGGCTCCATTGTGTCTATGCAAATATATAGATGACTCCTCCTATATATATATATCGACTATATATAACTGAAACCAAAATAGGGATATTTGCTCGCGACGAGAAACTGCTGATACTCACTTTATTGTGTGGCAATACAATGAACGCGCCGCCGCCCGCCGACTCCACAATGATGGCCAGAAACTTTGGATTGACCGCACAGAATGTGGAGTCCCAGCTGGATTTGGAGACGCGTATATTATCGTAGCATTGTTCCCGCTTTAATGACTGCCCATAGACGTGACGAAATTTTGAGCTGCGCACAACACGAAATGACATCTTCTTCTGCTTGGCTCCTCTGCCTCTGCGTCTGCCTCTGCGTCTGTCTCTTGCCTCTTTTTTGGCTGAGCTGTTGGCCCCGTTCTAAGTATCTCTGCTCCACTATGAGCTTGGCCCGGGTTCAGTTCAGCGGGGTCGGCGTTGTCGGGCGTAAATGATTCGTTGCAGGTCTCTTGATTTTGATTCTTGTTGTGCGGTTTACCTGTAAAGATCAAGATTAGAGGCTTGTTAGTTAGCTAGTTAGTTGGTTTGTTGTACTGTTGAGAGTTGACTGAATTGTTTCGGGGCCATTCAATTTGCTTCAACCGTTTTTTGACACATTCCTCCAAGCAGTCAAAAGGCGACAACAATAATAATACATTTGCTGCTGTTAGTTTTGGAGCATGGTTCGGCTTCTCCTTCCACATACACGATCCTTTCAGCCCCACTTTCGCACCTTTGACCTCGCTTTTATGATTCTTTAGTATATGAACCCCTGTTATTTACATGCTTTTAACATTTAACAGAAAGCACAATCACATTCAATGTAAACGCTAACATCATCTGTTATTAGCATTAAATTTGCATGCTGAAGCTATTATTAACATCCTGGCATGTATATAACAGCTGTAAACGTTTACATCATCTGTTATTATCATTAAATCTATATATTTAAGCTATGTTAACTGTCAAGCTCTTACAGGCTGCTTAACCTTTAGCACCTTTGACCTCGCTTTTATGATTCTTTAGTATATGAACCCCTGTTATTTACATGCTTTTAACATTTAACAGCAAGCACAATCACATTCAATGTAAACGCTAACATCATCTGTTATTAGCATTAAATTTACATATTGAAGCTATTATTAACATCCTGGCATGTATCTAACAGCTGTAAACGTTATCATCATCTGTTATTAACATTAAATCTACATATTTAAGCTTTGTTAACTGTCAAGCTCTTACGGGCTGCTTCGCCTTTTGCACCTTTGGCCCCCTTTTATAATTCTTTACCACAGCTATATATGAACCCCTGTTATTAACATACATTTAACATTTACCAGCAAACACTATCAAAATCGCGCTGTTGCCAACAACCTTGCTTGCAGCTAACAGCTGTTAACGTTAACATAATCTGTTATCAACATTAAATGTGCATGTTTAAGCTCTTTTACAGCTGTAAACGTTTACAACATCTGTTATTAGCATTAAATCTACATATTTAAGCTCTGTTAACTGTCAAGCTATTACTTACAGGCTGCTTAAGCTTTATATTCAAATAGTTGACTAATTCGCAGTTGATTCAAATTACATTTGAACCGCCCCCCCCCCCCCCCCCCCCCCCCCCCTCAGCATTGGCTGGTCCAGCGCCACTGCAGCCAAGTCGTGTCACAACCTCGATTTGTTTAATAAATTTGCATATTACGTCGAACAAACGACAATCAATAAGCAGCTCCGTTTAACTGTGACTTAACCTGATGAAATGTATGCGCAAAAATAAATAACAAACATAACAAAACAAAACACAAATCGTTGGCATTGTTTTGTTTGTTTTGCAAATGTTGCATAAACCCAAACGAGAAATAAAAGCAAAATGTTATGACTGCAATTTGATTTGAAAATTGAGACGCTTTTAGAACACTTTCACCCCGGCCACTTTCTACTGGCAGCCGAACAGCCAAACGTGCTCAATTATCAAAATTAATGAGAAACTACAACAACTACGACAACAACGAGAACAACCTTTACAGGTAGCTTACAGGTAACGCCTCGCTGTTTATATGACATCATAACGCTGAAATAACGAATCGGCTGGCAACACGTGAATTATGGCCGCAAAATCTGACAAACAGAATTACTAAAACAAAAAAAAAAAAACTAACTAACAACAAATTCGCACAACTCTGGCCTTTGGGTTGGGCCCAAACGAATGTGGCCAAAAGACGACGCGAGGCTTTCGTTTTTAATCAGTGAAAAAACTCTGCAAAAGAAAACGTCAAGACGGCTGTTAAATCATTAATACGCTCTTCGCATACCCTTGGCGGAGGGTATTCTACATTTTGATTGGAATGTGTAACGCTTAGAGGGGGACTGTAGTAAATAGTATATAAACATATTCTTATTTTCTCAGCTATAAAGATATCTTTATCTTCTTCCTATAGGCAGACATTTTTCACAGCAGACCAGATCGGACTACTATAACTATATAGCTGCCATGATAATCGAATTAAATGTTATAACAACTTTAAATATATTCCAAGTAATTCCAACAGTTACCAGCTTTTTAGAGCTACAATAACGAACGACTTTACAAATAGCTCAAAGACACTTTTCAGTTTTTCGAATAAAAAAAAACTACGACCTCAATTTCCTTTCTTATTTACCTAAAAAACTCAACAAGAACACATATTTCCTATGGGTACAAACAGTAGAAAGTAATTTGCGCAAAATGTTATTAACATAGCTTTAACATAGCTCGCACAGAATATCCAATAACATTTAGTCTTTGCATGCAATTCATGTTAAGTAAAGGTATTTAATATTCGGCACTTTTAAGATAACAAATTCTTACTTTTTCTCAACATTTTTTCTTTTTTTTTTTTTTGGGGCGCAAATATGATATGTGTGTAGTAATATGCACAATGAATTTGTCATTGACCTGCTAAAAATCATAAACATGCGCATATAAATATATTTAAGTATTTATTTTCTTTTGGCTGCAAGGTAACACTCTGTCGTGGAGTGTGTGTGTGTGTGTGAGTGTGGGTGTGTTGCCATTATCATTGACGCTGCAGCTGATATACTTTATCAGCTACAGAAATGCCTAAAACACAAACTAATAAAAAACTCTTGAAATTGCCAAAGCTATAGATACATATATATGTACATATTATATATATAGATCGATGCCTAAAAGCCAGCACATGTGCATAATATATATACATTCACAAGTATGTGTGTGTGTGTGTGTGTGTGTGTTATTTATGGTGTTTATATGCCTCAAGAACACCTTCGCTAGAGAATTTTTAATACATTTCACAGCTGCTGAAGGTCAAAACTTATTAATAGAAAATTCAATCATCTTGCTTAAAATTCAATTTTCATATAAACACACACACACACACACACACACACACACACACACACACACACACACTAGCTGGCACACCCGTAGTGCGGCTGTAATTTGTGTGTTTAATGTCTTTATTTATTTTTGGTATTTTTTTTCATCTTCTTCTTCTTCTTCCGCTCATCTTTGGCATTTTGGCCAATTTATTGAGGCAACACAATTGCAAATGTTGACATTACCCCCCCCCCCCCCCCCCTCCCCCGCTCATTCCTTCAACAGGCGATAAAGTCGAAATATATATATATATTTATGCATATATATAACGGAAGTTGATACATATAATACTCAGAAATACTTGTTAAAATGCGGGCTGCGATGCGGCTGCGGGTGGCGGGCTCTGATCCGAGTCAGCGACTGTATAACAGTGGCTGCAAATAGTTAACATACACTTGAACTGTATGTTACACTATCTACTTTTTAATATATCTTAAATAAATAGTTTGTCATAGTTAGACTTGCGATAAGATAAGCTGGAGGCTCATCAAATATAAAAATGTGTTGCAACTTCATTATTGAAGACAAATAAATACATTTATATACAATTATTATCAGCAAGGCAAAGAAATCAGAAAAAAAGCAGCTAACATTAAACAGCAATTTCATAATTATTGATTTTACTGTCTAACAAGTTTAAGAATATTCAAGCAATTGAGTTGAGGGTTCGAACTAATATGTAAATACTTTGTTTAAGCCATAAACCAAATGGAATAAAGCCAGCAACATGATTGAGCTGATAGTTTGTAAGCCAATTTAGCACTTACAGTTATTAGACAATAGACTGGGATTCAGGCAAGAAGCTGTGCATGATGCAGAGCGTAAGAATGTGCTGGGCAACTAACTGATGGCACGCACTGTTGTGTGTGCTGGCTTCATTCTGACAGCTTCCAAAGCGCATTTCTCATTACGATGCAGCCGCTGATCGGTTCATCAGTTGATGATTGCAACGCGCCAGCGACGATGCTGACGTTGACGTCGGCGTTGGCGTCGACGTCGACTGGCCACAAATTGACTTAATGCTTGATTGCAAATCTTAACGCTTTGTCGAAACGTTCAGCGGGCCAATTCTAATTGCTAACAACATTTGCTGCTGTTTGGCGGCGTGACTAAAAAACCAAAGCGCACCCCGTTGACTAACTGATGGGAGCGCGAGCAGGGCGGGGCAGTTCCTTACAGTCACAGTTGCCATTCGTCAATTAAGCGTTGTTGTCATTTTTCACTGTACAATGCAATCGAGTGTAAGAAACGAACACAAAAACTGACAAACGAAACGGTCAATGAATGGAGTGCGGCAAGTGGCAGGGGGCAGGGGGCAGGGAGCAAAGGGGCGCCCCGCTCCAATTGGCTGCTGCTCTATGCAGCACAATGCTAATGTGGCCCGTTATAAGCCGCAAACTGTCCAACATCTAATTAGATGACAACGGGCGGTGTGAATGTGTCATGAGCAACACATCAATAACAATTGCAATAACAACAACAATACAAAATGCATTTGTTACACAGTACAAAATTGAAGGGAATATAACTTTAATCGGATTTAAAGCAGGGAACTCTTATACACAGTAAGGTCAGCTTAAAAGAGAGCACATGCAAATTGAGAGCGACAGAGCGAGAGAGCGAGAGAGAGTAGGCATTGAGTATTAGGTGCAATTTTAAATCGAATAAAATACCAAAAACGTTTTTTTTCGCAGCATTTTTTGCTGTGTAGTATTATATACTATAGTGCATATGTATGTATGTGTGTGTGTGTGGTGTAGGTGGCAAATGAATCATTGATGCCAGACGCGCCTGCCTGATAAGCATCTGTAGCTGCAAGTGCACGCTTATCAGGCAGCAAGCATCGATGGAAACTTTCGCTTGCACATTGTGAATACAACTGCAGCTGTTCGTGGTGCAGCACTTGATGATGTCATTAGGCATTACTATAATTGCCAATGACATGCAACAACAACAACAACAGCAACAACAATAACAGCAGCAGCAGCAGCAAAAACATCGTCAACGTGATTGGACTTGCTTGTTGTACTTAAGTTCATCAAACTGCTGCTGCTGCTGTTGCTGTTGCCTGTGCGATTAAGTTAATCTTGACAAAAAGCGCGCAAGTGTCTGCCCTGCCACAAACGTTTGACAACACTAGAGATGAGCGCGTGCTTTTTGGTACTTTAACTGACAAGACAAAATACTCAAATTGGTATTTATACCAATTAGTAGACTTATAAAACTTCTAATGGTCACACTGCTGCTGCAGTTAACAGTTTAACAAATTTGTTCATTATTTATGTATTGCGTGTACATGAATATATTCATTTCTATTCGTGCGTATTCGTGCCAACGCAAAAATCACGATACGCATTCAATTCAAATAACATGCAACTACAAACACGACAGCAGGGAGTGCGAAGAGGGGGCTTGGTGGGTGTCGGTGTCGCCGCCGAGTGAAAGTGGAACTCGGCTGCTAAATTTAACTATGCAATGCTTCTTCTTCTTGTCGTTGTTGTTGCTGTTGTTGTTGCTGTCTTAATTGCACGACGCTTCTCCGTTTCGCGTCTACTTGTTGCTATTTCTGCCACATTTGCGCTTAGTCAGACTGGCGGCATTTGTTGTTGCTATTGCTTTTTTGGACACCACTGTGGGCAAATTTGGCCCGTTACTCAGACAAAAAGTAATTTTTACCAAAAGTATCATTAATTTCCTGTTTCTCTTTCGAGTTTGATTTGTCTGCAAGAAATCTTCATATTAGAAACAGACAACAAGACCTGAACATTGCGCCTTGATAGGTTTTTTGATTTTTTGCCACGAAAAGTGTTTAATTTGGCCCATAGTACACTGTCACTTCATTTGCATACATATTTGCACACGCACACACACACATACATACACACGCATATACTGCATGCGTTTTTCATTTATATTTTGTCACTAATTGGTGTTTGCTGCGTTTCTTGCTTTTTTCGCCGCCGTTGCTTAACCCATTTTTGGACAACGCCTGGCAGCAACAACAACAACGCGACAACGACAACATCTATGCGTGGGGGGCGTGCTCGCACGCGCTCTTACACTTTCTAAGAGAGCGCCACAGACGCAAACGCAGACGCAGACGTGCGCCGCTGGAGGTCGTTTGTTTTTCACACTTGTTTCACACACACACACACACACACACACACATACACACACTTACGCACGCATACAGAAAGCGAAAGAGACTGCCGCCTGTGTTTCTGCTGGAAATGTGTAATTCTACGCTTTGGCCAACTTGAAGCCACGTTTCTTGCCAATTGCCACAATATTTCAATTACGGCTTATCGCTTGCGCCCACAGCTTAAAACAACTAAAAGTGCTCTAGGCGGGTGTGCGCGATTAGCGGATACCCTGTAAGCAGCTCAGCTCCAAATTTACTATATATTAAAATTATTAAATGAGATCTATTGCTGGATGCTGATTAATAAGCTATTCTGGCACATATATATTTATATATGCAGCAAACGCTTATGAACTCTTTGCACACATTCTCATTGGGTACAGGGTATAAATAGTTGAGCAAACTGAGCGCACGCATTGAGACACCCCCGCGCGTCAAATGCTTTACAATGTGGCATTTCGACTTGTTGCTTCCAGAGCAACAATTTGGCGCTCTCCCACCGCCGCTCTCACTCTTTGGCCAGAACATTATAAACAAGCTAGCCGGAAAATGTGAGCGCAAAGAGAGCGGGCGGCGGCAGCAGCAGCAAAACACACACGAAAATTACAGCTAAAGGCAAAAGAATAAAAAACAATTAATTTAAATGTGTGTATTTGTGTGTAAGTGTAGTGTGTGTGTGGCGAGAAACGCAGAAATCTTTTCCTTGCTTGCTTTCGTTTTGTTTGCTTTTCTTTCATTTTGCAACATTTTTCGGCGTTCGGTCTTTTTGTTGTTGCTCTGTCCAAGACGCTTCTCATTTTTATTCCCTTTTTTGGAGTGTTGCGACTCATATAACACTGTGTGGGAGCGGGAGCGCATGCGGCAACATTTTATAGCTGCACTCTTCACATGCATTGCGCTCACCACTGAACACGCATACGTACACAAGTGCGCGGGCAACACACACACACACACAGACACACACATATACACACACACAAACACAATTGTCGCACTTATTTTATTCGCCGTGATTTTGAATGATTTTGTAATACGCGCGTTCATTATTTAAATGTAAGCTTATTAGTAAATTACTTTAATATTATTAATAAAACCAATCAAATGGCTGCCACTTGACGTCTGCTTGTAAAAATGCCACAATGATTCATTGACATTTGTATTGAAATGCCAAAGTTGCCGCAACAGAAATACACAAATAATATTCACACAAATTAACACTCACTTTATTTTAGCATTTACGCTGGGGCATGTGCACTTGATTTTTATTGAGTATGGGAAATTTTTGAAAATTTGCACTTTATTGTTGTGAACTGTTTCAGAAATTGCGGTTACGAGAAGACGAAACGTAGCAAAACGCCGACGAGCGAGACGACAGAAAACAAAACTGAACAACCAAGCAGTGTGACCAAACTCAGCAGAGTGAAATAATAACACAACAGCTGGGCTGTCAACTTGTCGCACAATATACCAAATCCTGAATGGTTGGCACGCCTTATCTTACTGTTGGTCACCCTAACGGCTTAATACTAGCATTTTGTTTGAACTCAGTTTAAATGTTCACATATTAACGGGAATTAAACTCAATTTGAAATACATTTAAATTGTTTGTAGTCTCTTTTTGCTCAACAGCCGTTTTCTCATGCACTGTCAGCAATTTTAAGAGCTCTGCCAGCGGATATTCAAATAACAGCGCCGCAAAGAATGCAATAATTTGCGTGAGCACAAAAACCAACAGCACATTTCCAAACTGTGAATAAATATGTTAATATTAAGCAAAATCAATTAAGTAAAAACTTACCAAATAGAAGCTGTTCACATAGATGGGCTGCCGGAAGTAACCCGCAACCAGGCGCAGCACAAAGACATGCCAGAGAAAAGCCTGAAAGGAAATGCGCGCCAAAGGCCGGAAAATGGGCAGCGAGCAAAATTCGTAGGCCAACCCTAAACAAATTTATCAATTAATTATAAAAACTCAAGACAAACAGAGTGCACTTACAGCCCACTTTGTAGCACATGCAGCTAACAAAAGCCGCACAAATCAGAATCCACAGATTCTTATAGATGCCGGCATAGAGAGCCAGCCAGACGGAAGGCTTTTCAAAGTCGTGCCTGATAAATATATAGCCCGAGCAGAGTATCAGCAGAGCTGCCGGCACCAGCAGCCACATGCCCAGTTCCAGCTGCCATTTGACCTTAAAGCTGCCCGAATCCGGCCTGGAGCGCTGCTTGAGATAAAGCTGACCGCAGAGAAAGCCCATCAAATAGCCGCCCAGATTGGTATAGAAGGGCGGATATATCTGGTAAAAGGTCTCCGCATCACGAAAGTACAAATATCGATAGGTTCTGCGGAGTACGAAACCGGCTAGAGTGAAGTTTAAGCTGCTGAGCAAACTCACTCTGGCCTCATGTGGTAGACGGCGTCCAGCTTGAGGTAATAGGTCAAGAGTGCGGGCACGGCAAATATCGAGATAATCAGCAATATATAGATAGATCGGGTCAGGTCGGGATACCTGCAAGATGGCATTAAAGGTTGTTCCTCCGATATACTCGCCAGGTAACTCACTTTTTTGTCACGATGATGACAATTAGAAAGAGCTCAAAGAGCTGCATATCGGCGGCCATATACCAGGTCTGCTGGGCACACTGCGAGAAAAACTACACTCAGAGAAAATCTACTTAACTTTAGCAAGACTCTCACTTAAGTTAAAGGTAGACCATAATATAAATAGTTAAATAAAGCCTTGAATTAAATCGAATAAATTAAATTTAAATGTCTTGATTGGGCTAGGGTATCTACAAGTCGTGTCTATAGCTGAGTACCCACAATCTCTTGCAGATTAGGGTATCAGCTAGTCGTGTCTATAGCTAAGTAAAAACACTCTCCTGCAGATAGGGTATCTGCTAGTCGTCTCTATAGCTAAGTACCTACACTCTCCTGCAAGGTAGGGTATCTGCCAGTCGTGTCTATAGCTAAGTAACTACACTCTCCTGCAAGGTAAGGTATCTGCCAGTCGTGTCTATAGCTAAGTACCTACACTCTCCTGTAGGTCTTGATTAGGGCAGAGTCGTGTCTATAGCTGAGCACTTACACTCTCCTGCAAGGTAAGGTATCTGCCAGTCGTGTCTATAGCTGAGTATCTACACTCTCCTGCAGAGTAGGGTATCTGCCAGTCGTGTCTATAGCTAAGTACCTACACTCTCCTGCAGCATATAGTTGTTGATGAATATTATGTTCTTCCACCAGGTCTCGCGGCAAAATATCCTCTCGGCCTCGGTCAGATGTCGCCAGAAGGGTCCATCGCCCAGCCTGCTGAGGATGCTGCCGTTGAACAGAATGATCAGGGCCAGAGATGGCAACATCCTCAAATATCTGCTGAGGAACACACTGAAGTAGACCCGGATGCAGTCGAAAATGCTCGAGCTGCTGCTGACCCACTTGCGCTCCGTAAAGTTCACGTAGAGCAGAAAGGAGCTCATCACGAAAAAGATCTGGATGAAGACGTTGCCGTTCTGGAATATCGAGGTCTCGAATCTGTAAAGGAACTGCTCAAAGAACTCGGGATTCTGCAGCTGCACGGACATAAAGATCATCAGCGTGTGCCCCAGTACGACAACAAAGACTCCAATCACACGGAATGCATCGAAGAAACGCAAATCCTTGCCGCAAACGCTGCTCGAGGGCAGCACGAGGCGATAATAGTTGCGGCACAGCGAAAAGGCGCACAAATATTTTTCAGCTGTTTGGGAATTGGATCAGAACTCAACGCGGATCAACAGTTGGATGCCACATACCACGCGTCCTCAGAGGCTGCCGATAGAACAGGTTGCCACGCGCCCTGGCTGGCAGCGTCTGCTGCCGCTTCAGGCGAAAGTCGTAGAAGGAGGAGAACACAGTGCACAGCAGGATCAGAGCGAGCAGCACATATACGGTCAGGTCCAGTGCATCTGAAGTGGAGAGTTGGAGAGAGGGTAGAGAGAGAGAGAGAGAGCGAGAGAGAGAGAGAGGGGCCAAATTGAAAGGGAAAGTACGAAAGCTCTCTCTCTCTCTCTCTCACTTGTATTAATGAGAATCGCAGAGAAGGGCGATAATACGTTTATTGTCTCATTTGCAGCGCGAAGATTATATTAAATTGAAATTAAATGTGGGGATAAAGGTTACACGACTTCATATAAGAGGACATATCATAGCACGGATGACTGTCTGTTTTGCTTGATTTCATGAGAATCGCATAGAAAGGCAATCATGTTTCTTGTCTCATTTGCTGATAAGAGATCAATTAGAGTGGAACTAAGCGCAGAGATAAATTTTAGAGTACTCATAGCAGCAGCACGAAGGCTTGTATTACTTGATTTAATGAGAATCGCATAGAAAGGCGATTTTTCTCAAAGTGAGGCTGGGAAAGCGTATGAAATTTGCACTGAAAATATATTAAGTTTTTATTTACCATGATCCAGCGGCTCATCTGCCCGTTCGCAGTACTCGATGCTGCTGCGCAGTCGCAATTGATATTTGCGTGCAAACTCCTTGTTGAGGCAGCTGTTGACCAGATGATCGTAGCGCAGGCGCTCATCGGAGGCTCTCTTGTGCACCCGGGCATAGTAGCTGCTCAGCTGGCAGATTGTGGCAGAGTTGAGCCAATCTTGGCTTGACTAACTCAATGTCCAACTTACCTGCGTGTCCGTGACGCGGCCCTCGTACAGCTGCTGCAGCTGAAACCTGCTGAGGCTGTGAAGTTCGCGCTGGCAGCGCTGAAGGCAGACGCCGACAAACAGATGATCGTGCCTAAAGCGATGTTTCTCGTCCCGGGACAGCTGCTCGATCTGCTGCCAGAGCGTGGAGCTGCCATTGGGCACCAGCTCCGCGTAGACCAGGCAGTAGGTGCTGTGCCCCAGGCACAGATCGTAGTCATCCAGCTGGTGCAAGGGCGGCATTTGCTTGTAGAGCGTTACTGAGATCGGGCACCGGGATTAGCTAAGGCTGGCTAGCTAAGGCTGGCTAGCTAAGGCTCGGCAGCTGCTCGACTCACAATTAAATTGCGCATACGTCACGTTGGCCCAGCCAGACGGCAGCATCAGCAGAAAAACAAACTCCAGCGCATGCATCTTGACTCGTGTTTAAAGATCTACTGTCGCCTTTTTTTCGTGTACATTTGCACTTTATTAAATTGTGGAGTTGCGTGCCAGCAGGCGGCGCTTCAATGGCTTTAGTAAATGCATTTCGATAAGGTCGCAGGCGAATCAATCAAAATCTAATATCATATAAGTCTAGAGTTGGGGTACGTTGTGCAATCTTCAAATGTTTCAACTTTGTCATTAAGTGAAGTTATTTTACAGCGCAAATTTATTTATATAAAAAGCAGGCATCATTTTTTTCGTGTTTCGCCCATTTTCCGCACAGGCAGGTGGAATAGTATGAAAGTATATTACAATTTCCGATTTTACTTTTCACATACATCACAAGAGCTAAGTACCTTCAATAATTCAACGGTTTAAGCATCCCGATTGTCATCAATCAATCAATCAGAACAATTCAATCAATCAGATACAATACGACACATGTGAAAGGAATGTTATAAAACCCTGTCATAGTTTTCACATACATAATAAAAGCTAACTACTATCAAAAATATAGCTGCGGGACTCTTTCGACCTGGCCGGAGCATTGATCATCAATCGATCAGTCAGTCGATCAAACAGTTCTGTATTTTGCATATACCACACATGCGGAAGGAAGTTTCAAAAGCGTTTTTATAAAAAACCCAAAAGTTAAAAATGGTCCAAAATTGGGCTTCGTAAGCCAACTCCGTTTAGCCAGGGAGTTGATCATCAATCAATCAATCAGTCAATCAGAACAAACGTATCTATAAACTTAAAGTAATTTAATTTCTATATTTGCATATTTAATAATCACAAAGAACTTTGAATGTGGATTGGATCATCAATCAATCAATCAATCAATTAGTCAATCAGAATAAACAGCTCCATATTGATTGATTTAAAGTAAGTTTATTTCATTTCAATGTTTTTTGACTTAAAAATAGTTGTCATATGTACTTCAGCCCAAATGTTTGCCGGCAAAGAGCAACAGATCGTTCTGCGACTTGATAAAGTAGGCAAACGGATGTGTGGCAAGGAATTTCTTACGCCGGAATGCCAATACGGGCATGATGCGAAAAACTGTGGACAAGCCATAAAATGCCATCAAGTATAAATCTTTATATATATGTTTTTTTTTACACTCAACATGCTGGATTAGTAGAAACAAGATGTTTAGTACAATAAATTGTCATCGCGTGCAGTCTTTAGAGAAGAATGTTGTTTCTAATTGTGCGGCCCGCATAGTTCGGGGCTTCAAACTCTTAAGAGCTTGCCGGCAAAGAGCACCGCGCCCTGCCTATTGACAATGTAATAAATAAATGGATGCTCGGCATGGAAACGTATGGGCTCCGGCTGGAACATGGGCATCGATGCAAAGCACATGACCATAGCTAAAAAAATAAAAATAAAAACAAACAAATAATGGAAGACAAGAACGAAACAAACACGATTAAAAATAGACCAAGCTGAGTGAGTCCACAACAAGGCAACGAGCATGAGATAGAAACAACATTAGATGAGTGTGTTTTTTTTTTTTTGAATGAGAGTTATATGGGAGTTAAATAATATAATTTGTATGGCATGTCTTAAAACTGTTGCAATTTGCCGGCAAAGAGCGTCACGTTCTGTTGATTGTTAATAAAATAGAGGAATGGATGAACTGCAGCAAAACGAATGGGTTCCGCCTCAGCCATCAGTGAATCGCAGTACATGAGCATGGCTAAATTGAGATTGGGAGACAATGCAAATTATTAGAAATGTGGCAGGAACAGGGACTGAATAATTACTTAAATGGGAAGCAGTTAATGAGAAAGAAGATCAAAGAGAGACAAAGCCAGAGATATACTTTTGAGAAGAAGAAGAAGAAGGTATCTTATTTAAAGAAAGTAAATTGCTTTAACAAGCTCGTTTGCTGTAATAAGGATAAATTAAAAACAAAAAAAGTTCCCTTGGCAGAGTTCGAACTCGCAACTGAGCGCATTGATTGCCAACGCCTCTATTTCAGTATTATTGAGAAGAAAAAAACGAATTAAAATAGCAGCACAGAAAACAATACAATCGCAATTGGAATGCTGTTGATAGAATTCAAAGCAGACGCGCGTAAATGTGTGTGTGTGTGTACATGTATACAGAAATTCTTGGAATTTGCGCTCGTTGCTGCACATAACTTTTGTGTGTTTCTTAACTGATCTTAATGAAATTTTCTACAGTATATCTTATTGTACCATAGAATATTTGTGTATTCTGAAAAAGTCAATTGCATTTAAATTGTGGCTTCAATTGGCGGACTTTAACTTGATTTATAGTTTTTTTTCTGAAACTTTATTGTAAACATGTCGTGCAAATATTTTTCTTCAAATTCAAAATTAATTTTAAGTTTTGTGTTATTTCTTCGAAAACTCTTGCAATTTGCCGGCAAAGAGCGTCGCGTTCTGCTGATTGTTAATAAAATAAAGAAACGGATGAACTGCATCAAAATGTATGGGCTCCGGCTCAATCAACAGCATTTCACAACAGATGACCATGGCTGAGGGAATGGAAGACAAACACAGATGATTAGAAAAGTGCGAGGAATGAGCTCAACTTGAATTAAGTTAGTTAGAGATGAAACAAAGCTAAAGAGCAGAGAAGGAATCGTAAACAAATTTAATGTAAATCTATTCTCTGTATTTGTATAAAGGGTTAACAGTTTTAATTAAAATGTTCTTTCAATATCAGTTTATTATCTAAGCTTGAAAAATGCAAAAAATATATTTAATATATAAATAAATACATGTATATATTATAAATCGTTTGAGAACGTTTCCCTAGAACTTTTGCATATTGCCAGCAAAAAGCGCCACGCCCTGATAATTGGCAATATAGTAGAAAAATGGGCGATTCACAAGGAAATATTTGGGCTGAGGCGGAGGTACAAAGGATGTTGCACGACACATGACCATAGCTGTAGAGGATTAGAAGATAAGGAAACGAGACCAAATGCAGGGTATTAGTTAGTCGAGTCAACAATGAATCATGAAACACAAATGAAGGCCAAAACTGAAAAGCAATTCCATAACCAACGTCACATAAATACTTATACATATACAAAAGTCTGCCTTTTATTACTTAAGAAGAGGAATACTCTGTAAAAAGTGCTAAAAATGTTGTTACTAAAGCTCGTCGTGTGCCTCGACTCGTGTGGCTGCCCCCTCGAGCCGCACGACGGCGCCCATGAAGAGCGGCAGATGCTGCCCATGGGCGAGCACATAGATGAATGGATGATCGGCATGGAACTGGAGCGGCTGCTCGAGCGAGATGAGGCTCCTTTTCATGCGCACGACGGCGGCTAACAATGAGAGACAAACAGAGAAACCGAGAGAGAGAGAGAGACATGAGAGACAAATTGTACAAGAATGGGCATGCAGCGCATGATGAATATGAATCCCAGAGAGAAGTGAACATGGCTTACCCGTGGCTGCAGCCGCCTCCGTGCCCAGCTCGTTGACATCGATGAAGGCCTTGTGCACGATGGCCGACACCTTTAGCGACTCGGGCGACTTCAGCATCTTGGAGAAGTTGGCGTTATCCGAGAACAGACGCGACATGCCCAGCTGGATGGAGAGAGCATTGGGTTTGGTTAGACAAAAGTCATGTGGATGGAACTACGATGCTCACCTGCTGGAAGACGGGCGTCAGCTCCGCCTGGAACTCGGCCTTGAACTTGGGCAGCTTGACGATCACCTGGCTGCTGTACAGCTTATCCGTGATCTGTGCCAGCGGCGTGCTGTGCAGCTTCTGCTCCAGCTGTGCCAGGCCCGTTTTGCTGTTGGGCAACACAATCAGCATGGACAGATCCGAGTCCTTGTAGGGCAGCTCCAGCGCAGCGGCATCCAGTTCGGGCAGATTGGCATAGCGGAAGCGTTCCTTTAGATTCATCATGGGCACATCCACGCCGTCCACCTCGTTCAAATGGAAGCGTTCGTTGCGTGTCGCATGCACCGGAAACTGATGCACCCAGTTGCCCTTGAAGTGTATCGCATTGATCAGCACCAGACGCGTACGTTCATCCAAGAGTGAAGCCGGCACAAGATCCTTGATCAGGCTGTTCGTTTGCTGCTCCACCCACGTGTTGATGGTGCCCGCCGCCTGGGCGCTGAGCGCAAAGTCCACATTCTCGGCGGCCGAGAGAAACTGTTTGGCCAGCAGGGAATTGTATTCGTCGGCCAGCTCGTAATCCTTCATCACGTACAGCTTGTTGGCAATGCGCAGAATGGAGCTCTTCTCGTACGCGGCCAGCACCTGATGAAAGCTCTCGGCGATTTTGCCAACATCGCTGGACACCAGGCCAAGGCCACGGTCCAGCTCGTCGGCTGTGTCGCCCACGGCGCCCAGGCGGGCCATCGCCGCGCAAGTCTGTATGGAGAACGGCGAGAAGACGACGTTCGTGTTGGGCTTCAGTGCGATCAGTTTGCCGTACATGTTCACGGAGAAGTTGGCCAGCCGGCGCGAGAACTCGGCCACATTGTTTGCCTCAGCGTTCGCCATGGCGTCAGAGCTGGAGGGGATCGGGATGGGGCTCGGGATCGGGCTGTGGTGCTGGGCAAGTTGCGTTGGCGCCTGGAGTAGCAGCAGCAGCAGCAGCGAGAGCGTCACACGGACTGTAAATGTGTGTGTATGTATTAGTATTGAGCGGCAAAACAAAACTGTGAATGATTTCATAAATTTATGTAATTCCCATTGTGAATGAGTCACCTCGTCGGTTGTTAATCAGTTTGTCGCCTTGTTTAGCCGTCTTGTTAGTTGTTCAAACTAGGCGCGCGTGTGTAAAGTGCGTTGTTTATGCTTGTTGTTGTCGGCTTTCTCCAATGTTTTTTATTTTGATTTGTATTATTTGGCTTTCTTTTCGTTCGCAATGCGCATTAAATGGCGCTCTGTTCTGCTTGCACGGGCGGCTGAACGTCAACTGAATGCGGGCGCTCGCTGCGCAGTTGTTTTTACACGCCAACCACATGCACATGTATGCGTGCGTCTGCACTCGCATATCCACTTAACCGGTTTGCTCTCTCAATATTGTCGCTCTCTCTTTGATTTTATGTGAGCTACGCGCTCTTAAGTGTGCCCACGTATGAATAAGTCAGATCTCTCGCTCTCACGCACTCTGGCACTCTTTAACGCCCACTCTTTTGCTTGTTAATGGGGGGAGGACGCTTATCAGCTGTTGATTGTTTTGTTGCTTACCGTCTAATTGCAAAAGTCGCTGCATTTGGCTTGCTAATTTTTGGTATTTATCAGCACAACTATATAATTTATAACAAATGAACAACCGTTAGACTAGCTTGCGAACAGCCACGACAAAAGTGCGATTCAAACTGACAGACAATTTGTTCAAAATTTTGATTTGCCTTTGCTGCTCGGCTTATCAGCAATTGTGAGTGGAAATCTTGAGCCGCACAGTAAGTAAATATATATAAATAAATATAAATACATATTTGTACTTAGGAAAGTATGATAAGCCTCAACTAGTAATATTCAACATAATTCTCAGCAAGTTTTGTTCAATATTATCTTTTGGTTGCCCCATAAAAAAACAGGGTGTTATCAAAATAACAAGAGCACCTTATCAGCCTGAATATTGCTCTTCTTGCTCAAAGAGAGAGTCTGCTGCTACCTGGCTGCTCTCTTTGGCAGCCAAGCACAGCCAATAAAAATTGCTGAAACTTCTAGAATTAAATAATCCGTTAATAGTTTACATTTATATATGACTGTAAGTGATATTTGCAGCATTGCGAATTTACAGTTAGAAGAAGCTCGAAGACAGCCCACGCGGCGCGCGGTCTGCTTCTTTCACAATTACTCAGAGTCTATTATGCGTTATTTATCTTATCTCTTATAACTGAGCATGAGCATGCATGCTTGCGGTCTGACTCACCACAGGTGTTAGTCTGGTTCATACACTCGGTTAAATCGGTTGGTTGGTTTTCATATGACACTTTCTTGTCGAGATTATTAAGTATTTCTACTCTAATCTATCTTCTGGAAATGAAAATATATAAATACCAGCGCTGATATAAAAAACCCGCTTTTGACTGTGATTTATTGTCGATTTTCAACAAGTTAGGTTTTTTCTATGTGTGTATATTAAGAAATGAAAGTAAAATCAGTTTTAAGCAATGACTGCGCGTGGAATCGAACCCGTTACCCCTTCAACTATGAGCTGAGCTCTCTTCCTCTGCGCTAAAAGATCAAACTACCATCTCTTTGACTTAGTCGATTTTTAATTCTCTCCACTGATTTATCTGCATTCAAATATCTGCTGTGCCTGAATAAAAATTAAATTATTTTTAAGGAATCACTCCGCGCGGAGTCGAACCCGGTACATGTCGACTTCGACTTGAGCTCTCTTCCCCTCTGCCAACTAGCTAGTGGGAGGAACTTAACCCATTTGGAGCTCGAGCTCGATTTTCGAACTCGATTTTCCATACTTTCCCCTTAATTTAGTTGCTTTGAAATATTTGCTATTCGTGATGAAAATTCCGTTTCATTTCTTGCTACAGATCTCGTTCTGTGCTGCGGAAAATGAGCGTGTGCCAGGACACTTACAATGACTTTGCCAGGGAGCTGTACGATGTGGCCACCAGGAACGACGCCAGGACGAGCTATATACCGGGCGCCAATGCAATTATCTCGCCCATTTCGGTGCAAACATCCCTGATGCTCGCCTTTGTGGGCGCGGCGGGCAGAACGGAGAATGAGCTGCGCACGGGCCTGAAGCTGGGACCCGGCGACCGGCAGGAGATCGCCAAAAGCTATCACGATTTCTGGACGCAGCTGTGCAACTACGGCAACAAGATGACACTGAAATCCGTTAATCGTCTCTTTGTCAACCACAAGCTGCAATTGCAGCACGAATTCAAGGAATTAGCCGAGGATTACTTTCACTCCCAGCCGATGCCATTGAATTTTGCAGACGCGACCAAGGCCACGCAACAGATTAACGCCTTCGTGGAGCAGGCGACGGAGAACAAAATACGGGATCTGCTGCAGCCGGATGCGGTGAATGCCGAAACGAGCGCTATCCTGATAAATGCGCTCTACTTTAAGGGCTTGTTCCAGAAGCCCTTCATGCCCGAGTCCACAATGCCCGACGACTTCTACCTGGAGCAGAACAAACGCGTCACCGTGGACATGATGTACCAGGAGGATAAGTTCAAATACGCCGAGCTGCCGGAGCTAAGTGCCAGAGCTGTCGCCCTGCCCTACGTGGACTCGGACATCAGCCTGCTCATCCTGCTGCCCAACAAGATATGCGGCCTGCAGGAGCTGGAGCGTCGACTGCCCAATCTCAGTCTGGTCAGCCTTGACCAGCACATGCGCACGGAAGACGTGGAGATAGCGTTGCCCAAGTTCAGCATTGAGTACGATTTGGATCTGAAGGATACGCTACAGCAGGTGGGATTAGGCTAATTAAATGCGAGGCATAAGCTGGCAAACTCATGCGCTTCTCACACAGCTAGGCATCTCGGAGCTGTTCGGCGATGCGGCTAATCTGAGTCGACTCTTCGAGGACGCAGCTGGACAGAAAATCTCTGAGGCCAAGCATCGCGGCTACATCGATGTCAACGAGGCGGGCTCCGAGGCAGCCGCGGTCACGTGTAGGTGCCACATTAAGTACATCTAATTTGATTATTATTCCAATGCTCCTCTGCCTTCCGCTCCGCCTTTTTGCAGTTCTGAAGGTTGTGCCCATGAGCCTGAACATGCATAAGAAAACCTTCAAAGTGGATCACCCCTTCATGTTCTTCATACGCAACAGCAGAGCCGTCTTCTTCGCCGGTCGCTTTGTGTCGCCCAAAAAGAAGGAGTTCATCATGTCCAGCCGAGAGCCCAAGAGCAGCGATTCCATGCGAATGCAAGTGGAAGACATGAGTGTTAACGAGTCTTGACCAGTGTTAACTAGTGTTGTCTAGTGTTGTCCGGTGTTGACCAGTGTTGACTAGTGTGTATGTGTGTGTTTGTCTTTCCTAAATTAGTCATCTAAACTTAAAGGTACTATCCAACTATTTTGATTGAAATATCTATTTAATCTAACTAAACATTAGTCTCTTACTAAGGGAATTGCATTGCAGGGCATAATCTTTCATTAATAGATAAAATGAAGGCTTGTAGCCATTTGGTTCTTATACGACTTTTCACCGATTTTCCACTCTTGTGTGTGGAATTGGATATGGATCTAAAAACGAAGAGCTGCTTGCAAGCACTTCTCACCTATTTTCCACTCTTGTGTGTGGAATTGTTCAAAGCAATTCCTCAACGCTTACGCACGTCAATCAAGCTATTTTTAATTCAACTAATTGTTGTTCGTTTGCTTAAGAGTGAAAATCGTGTCATTCGCATATGATTATTTATAACGATTCATTATAATTTTATTATCGAAACGCTGGTCATGCGTTGTTTATAAAAATAGTTGATTGTTGCTCCGATAAGAGTCGACGAGGAATTGCTTCGTTTTCGATATATAAAAGAAAAAAACCCCCACTGTTTAGCGTTCACTTTCTCTGCAATCGTTCAAAGTTACCTATTGATAAAACGCAGTTCAATTTCTTCCATATGATCGACTCTGGGAGAGGCGAATGCTTCCATCGCCGGACCATGTTCTTCACAAAGCTGTCCGCCAAGCTGTTGGCCAGAAGAGAATATGTTCTCGTTCCATTTAGAGCTGTGGCGTATTTATTATTTTATATATATAAATATTCTTTCCATATAAGCTGGGATTTACCTCAACAATTATACTATCTGCTATTGTTTTTTATGTACTTTATTTGAATAATTAGACAACAGCTCTCGGGTATTCACACTCGGAATTGTTATTCGTAAAATAATGTCACCAAATGACATCATCTGAGGTCATGAGAAACTAGAGAAGGCAACATAAGCAAAAGAGAATGAATTGAAATGTAAGGAAGAGATATGAGGAAGGGGAGCGTAAATATATATACTCTTAAATAAATGCTCTTTGTTTCTTTTAAACAATTTATCAAAATTTATATTAAATGTAGAAACATTTGAAGCGAATAAAAATCGACTAATTGATAAATATCGATTCGTACGATATGCAGATAGCCTAAGATGAATTTAAAATTATCGATAGCTTAATCGATAATTATCGATTTACACGCTAATGAGATAGGCTTAGATTTATTTCAAATTATCGATAACTAAATGGAAAGATATCGATTTACACGCTATGAAGATAAGATTGTATTCATTTCAAATGATCGATAGCTTAATCGATAAATATAGATTTTCGCCAAACTTCCGACACAGATCCAGTTTAAAGGGAACCAAATGTTAAAGAAACTAATCTAATATTTTATAATTATTGGAGACGGTCTATAAAGGAAGTTCATCTAGAATGGATTCCCCAGCGGGCAGTAATTACGGAAGAAGCACAACAGCTTGCTTTAAATTTGGTATGCAAATCAATAGACCTTAGAAAGAGCCCAAGGGCAGCAAACACATGAAAGGCTTGGCCCAAGCTCGAGGGCAGCACAATCGCATCGTAGCCTTGGCCAACATTAAGGCAGAAGCTGATTTTGGCAGGCCTCGGCGCCAGGTCGGCTATTAACTGAAAGGAAACAAAGACCCAGATAGCCGGGCA